GATTACCGACTGTGCTCTCGACCCGCGCCGCCCGAGACTCTCACGCCTGCGCCGCGCGGCGGCCCGCGGCCCCTGTGCCCGGGCCGCCGGCGCCAACCTCCCTCCCCCGCCGCACTGCACCTGTGCGCGCGCCAGGCCGCCTGTGGCTGATTTCTAATTCACCAACAACCTGAACCATTGCTGGGATCCGCCCGCCGGCGGCACGCCCCGCGCCGCGGATATTTGTTGGCTGCCCTCCATCATATGCAGGCGAACCCGCTTCACGCGGCCCGGGGGTCCGGACCGCGCGCCGGCGCAACACACCCACCGACACATCCATTTTTTCGGCGTCGACGGCGCCCGCACATGCGTACCGCTGTGGCGAGCCGAGGCCGGCTGTCACGAATTAGGCCCGGGGGAAACCTCCACACGGGAGTTGTCTGTTAAGCTGCCACTGGCGTCGATGCTTGTCCTTTTCACGCCTCCAAAACCCCTTCCATCAGAGCACCAACGTCCATTTATCGCGCTTACGCCAGAGGCTGCCAGACCCGCCGTTATTCTTGTGCTTCGAAAAAGCACCCCAACCCCTCGAGCCCCCGTGCAGCCGTGAGCCTCTCGTCGCTGCCGCGCGGCACGCGCAAGCGTGCATCCGCGACACCCCCAACCACCCACTCCATGCCTCCATTCTTCGCGCCGGCGCGCGGCCCCTCCCCCGCTGCCTTTGAGTCCTTTGAATGGGCCCTTAGGCCTCCCCAACAACGGCAGGGCCACCTCCCCCCCCTCCCAGCAGGCGCGGCCGCTTTGCCTGCCCAGCCGAACGCCCCCGCGCCAGTAAACCCCTCGGATTAAAATCAAGGTCGTCCCTACGACCGCCCCGGCGCCGCGGCGCCTGGTAGAGCGCCCCTCGTCTTTCCAACGGCCTCGCCTCGCCCGCCGGCGCGGGGCGCGCACCAGAGCGTCGCCCTTTGAACACACACCCACACACCGGCGCGGGCGGCGCGGCGGCGCAGCGATGGCGCCCCGTCCCGAGCGCGGCTCCCAGTCGCCGGACCCGGGAGGCCCCACCGGCGGCGCGTGCGCCGCTCCAGGCCTCCCGGGCGCCTGCTGGAGGGGGAGGGTCGGCGCAGAGCAGAGGCGCCACGCCTCATGGCTGGCTGCCCTCTGCCCCCTAGCCCCATCCGCCGGCGGGACATCAGCATGCGTCATGTGCCCGAGCGCCCCCCTTTCGCGGCCTTTTGACTACCCACAGGTTCCGACTTCCCTTGTTGCACGCCCCCTGCCCCTGTCCGGCGGGCGGCGCGTTTTGTCGCTGTTGCCCCCACTTTTCGTTGCGCCTCCGCGCTGAATTACAGGCCAAGCACCCGGGCGGGGCACCGCGAGGTTGTCTGTTTGAGTCCCCTGCCCGGGATGCGCCCGCGCAAAACACGCACGCGCGGTAACAAGATCAGGACTTTGAATTCTGGGGCTTTGGATTGCTGATGCTCGTCTGTGCAAGCACGTGCGTGCGCGTGTGCCTTGAGCTGCATGTGGGGCACACACGCATCGCTTGGAGGACTGGTGCGGGTGTGCAGGGCAGGACGTTCAAAGCAGCAGCGGCCAGCTGCACGCAGGGAAAAGGTGATCCACGGGCGACGGCTTTCTCAGTGACGCATGCAGGGTCTGATGTGCGGGCTGGATGAGGTGCTGCTTGCTGTGTCCCTTACTAGAAACCATAGGAATGTTCCAAAGGCGGAGCTTCTGGTTGGGGTGGTTGTCGAAGTCAGAGGCCAGTGCATGTGGGTGCTGCCTTTGCCTTCCCAGGATGCAGGCAGGACCCACCTGCGCGGGCCTGGATAGAAGCTGTGGTATTGATTTGATTTGATTCGTTACAATCGTCTAGGCTAGCTAGACTCCTCCCGCCACTATGACCAACCGGTGTGGAACCAAAAACAGGGGTAATGCACAAACTAGCCGCCCAAAGCAGGCGGCAACACACGCAACACCAAACAAGCCAAGATGGCTGTGGTCAGGTGAGGTGTGGAGAGCCGCACAAATAATGCCATATATATGGAATGGTATCATCCAAGTCAACAAATTCCACCTGGGCTCCCTGCCCGCCTGGATCTGCGCCAAGCGCTGCTGCTGATCGGTTACTACCTGGCAGGTGACTGCACAGGAGCGAGCGCGAGACACACGCGCAAATGCAGCCATTATGAAGCTGTCATCTCCCGAGATCGCTGGCAAGTGTCCCGCGAGGGTGAGAACGAAGCTGGTTTTCGTTGCAGCCGCACGCACTGGTGCCGGGTGAGGCGAGTGGCCCGCATCGTTTGGGCTTCGACCAGCAATAACCCCCCGTAATCATACATTACATCACCTGATTTCTGCAACTGCGGTTTGCACTGAGCACGACAGGCTTGGGTAACGCACCATCGGCGACATAGTCACACTCACCCGGAGCAGTATACTCCTTCGTTGCGGGCCCTTGGCGCTTCTGAGCCTTGTGCAGGCGCAACAAGCCCACTGGGAATAGAGAACAGCAACGAAACCTGCACCAAACTCGGCGCCACACCCTGTCACTCGCCCCGAGTATCCTGAGGCAGCTGGGAGCGGGATGCAGCAGCTCCCCCGCCGCCGCGCCGCGGCGCTGCTCGCCTTTGCCCTGCTGGCCGCGGTCGCGGCCGCCCAGCCCTGCATAGAGTGCAAGGACTGCATGGTGAGAGCAAGCGCCCCTGGGGCGGCCTGACCACCTCTCCGCCTACCCGCTGTGCGGCGTCGGCACCCCTCCCCGTATTTCCCTCACACACCCGCACACCCCGCTCACGCTCCCTCCGTCACCCCGCCCGCCTCCGCCCTCGAATGCACCCAGACCGCCTTCTGCTGGCGCAGCTGCAGAGACAGCTGCGAGCCGGTGCGGCCGAGCGATGTCATCGTCAGCGGGGACGCCTGCAAGAAGGCCGGCGCCAGCCTGGGCCCGGTGGCGTCGAAGGTGCGCGCCGGCCCGCCCCACCCGTCCGGGCCGCTACAAAGCGCGCCCCCCAAGAAGGCTTTGAGTTCCTTGGGACCTGAGGGTCTGATACCCAGTTGCTGCGCAGCCGTTGCTGCCCCGCGTGGCCAGTCCGGTGTTGTCGGCAGCTCCAATGTCCGAAAGCCTGCGTCCAACCGTGGGTGACCCTGCGAAGTGGCCGCTAACCCGTGCCACGAGCGCGGGCGGTCGCGCAGCTCGCGGCGCCTGTCGCATGCATCATCACGCCGGCCGCCTGCCCCCCTGAAAGCTCACCGATGCCGCCCGCTCGCGCCGGCCTGGCTCGCCCTGTGGGACCACCCTCCAACGCAGAGCGCGTGCGAGACGACTCGCAAGTACTGCAACGGCGGCCGGCAGGCGCCCATGAAGGCCGCGAGGGCGGTCGGCCCAGTGCAGCTGGACCAGTGCGCTAACATCGCCCTGGGCGCGTGCCAGCAGGTGCGGGGCGTGAGGAGCCGCCTGACACACATGCCGGGGGTTGTGGCGACGACTGTTCAAGCTTTTGGTTCCCACAGGCGGCGGTTGCAGGTTGCAACAACCAGGCGCAACCAGGCACGATCGCCGAGACCACGCGCCTGCATAATTCCGATGGCACGCGGGACGCCAAGGCAGCCCCCGGCAAGCGCCATCAAAGCGGCCGGCATCCGCACTGAAAACGGCGTCGCGCCACGCACCCGCACCCCTCCCCCCCTGCCGCCCAAACTGACCCGCAGGACACCAACAACGCGTGGAGCTGGCGCCACCCCTGCGGCCGGGAGCTGCGCGGCGGCTACGCGCAGTGCTCCGCGCAGGACTTCAAAGCCTTTTTTGAGGGCGACTCGCGCGACCTGTGCTTCAGCCTGGCGCGCGACGTCACCGGCGTCCAGCCGGGCACCAACCAGTGGGCCGACGATGACGACAACAACGCAAACTACGGCGGCGGCGGCAACAACGCAAACTACGGCGGTAACAACGGCGGTTACAACGGCGGTTACAACGGGCCGGTCCCGGCAAGGGGCCCGGCCGGCGGCCCCGCGCAGCCGCCGGCGGCCGGCGCGCAGCAGCCGCGCGGCGGCGTCTCGGGGGGCCCGGTTGTGCTGCGCGGCGCGCCCGTGAAGGCGCCGCAGCCGGCGGCGCCGGCCAAGGCGGCTGCGCCCTCTCCCAAGCCGACCGCCGTCCCTGCGCCCGGACGCCCGCAGGCCGGCGGCCCCGCAGGGCTGGGGCTGCTGCAGGGGCTGGGGCAGAGGGCGGGCAACCCCCAGGGGCTGTCGGGCCTGTTTGGCAGTGGCATGCGCCAGCTGGGCCTCGTCGCGGGCCGCCGCTTGCTGGCTGCCTGAGCTCATGCGACCGCGGCTTGACGCCCCAGACGAGCCCTTGAGGCGTGAAGTCTGCATCATTCACTACCACCGTTGAAAGCGTTGTGCATGTGTGCCGCCAACCCAACATGTATTACGCGCCTTGTGGCCTGCTGCAGAAGCCAATCCCTTGAGACCTTGCACAAGGGTCACAGATGAGCGCATCAGCCCCATGCTCACAACTTCATTGAACGACCATTGGCCGGCACAGCCAACACCCCTCCTGCAAACGGAGATGTCTATTTCACATATTGTTCATGCAATTGACCCAAGCATGCTGAGCGGATCTTGTTCCTGCCGCCCTCATGACACAGGGATGATGCAGCTGCCCACCCCCATGCACAGCGTTTGGGCATCTGAGCAAGATGCAGCGATCCAAGCTTCGCGGATATCGGGTGGAGGGGCCGACACAGATCGGTGGTTGGCAGGGCGGCCACCACTGGGATGCGGCACGCAGTGCAGAGGGAGGGATGTGTGGGGCGGCGCGCCGCCCTTGCGCAGCCTTGGCGGGTTTGTCGGATGTGTGAGCGTGATCGCCTGCGAAAGGGGCGCTTACGCATGCTCTTTTCGTGCAACGTGCTGCTGCCATCCGCATCCTTGACACCGTGCTGCGGCGAGGTCAACTGTGTAAGGGAGACGCCGCATGCTTACAGCGCTTGAGATGGGGCGAGCACAGCAAGGAGGAAAACGTGCAAACCATGCTAAATTACCACTCTGCACAAAGCAATGGATGCGGTACGACACCTTGGTGCACAGTATGGATTTGCGTCAAATACAGGGTCAAAGCAGGGTCAAAGCAGGGTCAAAACAGGGTCAAAACAGGGTCAAGGCGGAACCAAGGCGCAGATAGTGATTTGAAGCAAGCAAACACAAACAAGTGCGCGACGCCACAGGGTCAGCGAGAATGCTGCCTGCAAACATGCTGTCGGGCAGCTCTGGATTGAAGAGCGCCACCCGCTCTGCGTGCAGGCAGTGGGTGCCTGCAGGGCCACAGCAGAAATGGCATAATGCAACAAGAGTGGGCTTCGCCGGCCGCATCAGCCCACGCCAAGAGGCGCTGCGCCCGCTCTGGTCGCTGCCGCCCTAGCAGCCGGCCCCCTCGTTCATCCCATCGTCGACGTCGTCCGCATATGCCCCAACACCCGCGGAGACCCGCCCCGTGCCGCCGCCGCCCTTGCCGCCGCCGCCCGCCGCCGCGGCCGGCGCCCCCGGCAGCTGCGGCGACGGCGGCCGAGGTGCCGGGGGCGCCGTGGCGGCGGCGGCGGCTTTCTGGCGCTCCTTGTCGCGCGCCGCCCTGTGCTTTGCGAGCAGCCGGTCATTCTTGGCCGCCAGCTCCCTGGCGCGCTCCCGATACTCTGCGCGCAGCCTCCGGGCCTGCGGCGTGGGGGGGTGCCGGGGCGCGTGCCTGTTGATGCGAAACGCTCAAGGCAGCAGGCGCAGGGCTGAGCGGGCCGTCGGTCGGCGGCTCGGGGTGGGAGGGAGGGAGCAGCCTGCGGGCGGCCGCACCGGACCCTGGCTTGTGTGCAGACAACGCACCGCTTGTCAGCGCGACCGCACACGCCTCCATGTGCACGCATTCACACCCAGACCAACACCCACACAAACACGCATGCCAGCTCGGGTCTACTCCCCGCACTCACGATTGCAAAGGTGACAGGGTCCGGCCACGCCTCTGCGAGCGCGTACACCTCGCCCCCCTCGGACACGTGTGTCTTGATGTAGTTCATGAACCGGCACACGAAGCCGCGCGCCAGGCGCTGGCGCAGGAGGCCGTCCCGCCCCTCAAAGTACTCCACCGGGAACTTCTCGGTCTCGCCCAGCCAGTGGACCTGAGGGGGTCAAAACAAGGAGGAGGGGAGTCCGCGATCCCAGGGGCCGGGGTGAGGCCGGCTGGCGGGGGGCAGGTCTGCTGGGGACTGGGTGAGGGCGCAGGCCGCGTTGGACAGGGGCTGCTCGGAGGCTGTTATCGCGGCATGGGCCGGACAGCCGGGGAAGGGTGAAAGGCGCTGTAGGAGGGAGGGGGA